AAGTTGTACCATACGTGAAGAATCATTTATAAAATACAACAAACTCTTTCTTGTAATCTAAACCAATCATCTTCGAGTTAACAAAAAACATTTTATTATAATATAAATGTCAAAACACAAAGGCTATTATTGGAGATAATTTAATCCCTATTACAGATTGTGTCATTAAATTTTTGTAATTAACATTAAAACTTTAAAATAATTTATATTTAATTGAAATTATTCGTAAATTTTAAACAAACCAAACAATAAAAACGCATTTACGATTCATTTAATCTTTAACACATATGCCATTGTAAAGTATTTTGCAACGCATGGATCAATGTCCTTCTTGAAGAAAACCCGTTTCATAAAAAAAGAGATTAACGACGTACGACACATTTCATTCGGCTTTTATATAATAAAAAGAATTTCCTCGGCTCAAACGATGCAAACGGACACTTCTAAATTAAAAAGAAGATTCTAAGAGGGAAAGCATGGGAGTTCATAATCGAGGCCAAGTTTAATACTTAACTTACAGAAAACGGATATTTAGATGATAACTTTTTCATCAAAATTTTGCGCTAAAAAAACTATTCATTAAGTGTCATTATGCAATGCAGAGTCAGATTATTTTTTTCTTCGGATATGTATTTTTTCATTTTAGCAAAAAATCGACCTAGAGTACTTTTATTTATGCGTGATCTAATTAGAGACTAGGCCATAAAACGTTTCAACCGGAACACAAGTGAATCTAACAAATGTCATCTTTACTAATTTAGGAATAATTACATAACTCTTAAAAATGGATAGCGCAAATTAACCAATCTAAGCAATCGTTTGTAATTTACGCGACTAAATTTATTTCCAACGATTTAATTAACTGTTACGTATTGTTCAGTTAATTAAAATTAATATTTAAATTTCAAAATAAATAACTTAAATGTATTATAATAAATAAATGCGACTGACGATTCATCAGATTTAACGATGAAATCTGAAACGGATGAATAAAAGTAATTTCGTGCCCGCCAACTGGGTCGTCGATTAAATATGAAGCATGCAGAAATAGCTTTCCCATTCAGACCATCCAAGCAGACCTTTAATTGCAAAGTAGAACATCGAACAGTAGGTCATGGGTCATCGACACTCTTGATTGTTCGTGATATTGACAAAATATTTTCTATCAATTAATTAATAAATATGACTAATTACCTCACTAATTAATGATAAAATAGCTGTTGGGAAAAGGTTAATAATTATATAAAATACTACAGATAAGGAGTTATTTACATTCATCTTTTAATAGGATAAATTTAGAAATGACCTTATTTTAATTTTTTAAATTTATTTATATATGATTTTTTCTAATTTTTATATATCAAACAGTTTTTACGTGTAGAAGAATTGAATTTATAATGCTTAAATTTTTTTAGAATTAAATAGGCCTTACGATAAGACAATTTAACCATTAACTAGACAAAAAGATGACTGCAAAAAATGATCTCGACTGTACAGGAAACTTATTGAAACTCTGTGTGAAGCAAAATGGATGTGATATTTTCGATTTACAAAAAATACAACAGATATTTGTATCCGGTGTTAGATAAAAGTTACTGAAGTGAGATATATCCTCACTTGATGCCATTCATCATTCAAGGACTTTAGCCATTTTCAAAATCGGTACTCGGTTCCAAATAAAAAGATCTAGTTTAAAAGATATGACCTTAAAATTATGTGAATAAGAATAATTTCTTCTCTGAAGTGCTATTGTTTACATAACAATGCAGTCCTTAATATCGCCCAAAAGAAGAATTCCAGTTTAGAAAAAAAAATATAAATATCTTTTAATTTTACGTTCTAGAAAACTCTAATAGAAAGCTTTACACAAAGGAGGTGTTGCAATTTATAGTGGACATGAAATGTAAGCCAACTGGTACTAATTTCGCCAGTATCCAGCTAGTACCGGAAGAATAACTATGATAAAGTTACAAAGTAAAATTCGATACCCTTCTACGAAGTATTTTTCTAATATTGAAAACAGAATTACTTATTAAATATTAAAGTTTGAACTAGGTCTAAGCAAACTACAAAAGTTCAACTGTTTATACTTTGACACGATCATTTTTCATCATAAAGAAAAATAATTTTAGAAACTATATATATAATATTTCAAGGTCTAGAGGCATAAGTAGAGGTTAAAAGATCAAATGACCGAATGTATGCGACGTAATAACAAAAGCTGATGATGCGCGCTTAACCGTTATTGAAGATAATGGAATCTGATTTTGTCTGAAATCTTACTTTGCAATGTCATTCTTGGTAACGGTCGAAGCGCTGCAAGTCTTCACCTCTACTTGCAGATCACCGCCTTCTTCCATTGACCTAGAGAGAGGGGATAGATGCGACCACTCAGCACACTGACTTTATTCGTCTGTTTGACTGCTCGGCCGACTTCGTCTATTCAATGGGAATGGTGTGACGTCACGTAACCGCTACCAATGTTTACGTTGGAGCTTTTCCCTCTTTGAACCTGTTATGTCAAAACTCTTCAAGCAGTAAGTAAAACTCGTAAAGTTCCTCTTGAGTCCCAGCTTCCTCAGATGTAATTATAAGCAGAATTTTAAATTAATCGTTTTGATCTCGTGTCATTTAATAGGAGAAATATAAAAATATCGTGTTTAATTACTCATGGTATATATTACATATGCTTTCATTTCATCGCATATACAGCACTTCATCTCCTTTAAATATCGAAATTGAATTTGCAGAATGATATATTTTACGAAGAATTTCAATTACAAATTTGTAATGGAGAATTTTTAATAGAAATAACCATCACTTTTCAGGTTAAATTTTTCAATTATGTCTAAATGAAAACAAATTTATTTTCTATTTAAAGTAATTTTTCATGAGATTTATTCTCGTAATAGAATATTACAAAAGAAACTAATGTTATTGAGGTAAACTTAATTTAAAAAATGAAAACATAAAATCTGTATTAAGTTTATTGTAATTTGATACATCTTTCCTTCTATTAAAATTTTATTTTAAAAAAATTGTATGTAGTTTTTTAGACCGATGACTTTCAAAATATGGGTTGAATTATAAAGTTAACTCAATTATGTCCCTTTTTTTCTTTTGATATGAAGGAAAACTAGAATTAAACTAAGTTATTCTCAGATCAAAAATGTCATTAGTTCCAAATGAGTTTGTGTGAAGATCCCTTATTCAAAAACATTATAATCTCGTTGCATTTCTGTAAGTAATATTTAATATGAAATAATTTAATTATCTCTACTAGTAGGTGGCTTTAGTGGGGCAGGAGAAGTCATCTTCTGTCTCGAGGCATTGCTCAAGATTGTAAAAATAAAAAATAAATAGATTTTAATTCGGAAGGAATATCTATAGATACTAAAATATTTAACAGGAAAAAATTAATCTTAGATTTATTTAATCGATGAAGTAGAAAAATCTCTTGGACCTTAATTTTATACACTATTTCCGCTTTATATTAATAAATATCTTTAAAAATAATTGAACTGAAAAATAGAATAGTCGTAAATAAATATAATATTTTTCGTATTTTTCTGTATGGAAAAATTCTTTACGAAACAGGCAGACTATAAGTAATTTATCCCTTCATTACCAAAACAATTACCGTAATAGCTTTAGCATTGTTTAGAACAATCGTGCCGTATTAAATCGTTTTGTAAAATTATACGAGACTTAACTGCAGTCAACGCTATAATCAAACACAACTAATTAATGGAGATTCACATCTCAAAGCGTTTCTTAACATAAATTCCTTTATAAAGATTTTCTATGAACAACTAAGAATTCATCAAAGTTAAACTTTTAATAAAACAAAATGCCTATAAAATGAAATTAAGATTTATGTATAGCTTTATTATTTGTTTTTATTTTCAGATGTATGTGATGTTTAAGAAATTAATTAATGTAAATTACTAAGATATTTAAATAAAACAATTGCATAATTTAAAAATAAAATATAATTTTTATAAAAAGACGATATACAAATTCAAATCAATACTACTAATAGAACAATAACTGATTAGTTCATTTAAAGATAACTTGCCCCAAAACAACAATAATTAAACACAATATTTCCTGAACCGTGCTCTACTTTTAACAGTATTTCCCTTAAATACCCTTGAAATATCGTGTATTCATAATGAAGGAAATTCAAAAATTTATTATTATTATTGTTATTATTATTTGAATAAAAAAAGATGAATGTCATTCTTAACAAATATTAGCATGAAAAATTGCAAAATAGATCATTTTAAGTTTAACTTATGATTTAAAAAGTAATTTAAATGATTAAAAAGCATTTCCTGTTTTTAAAAATGATATTGAATGTTTAGAGAAGTAGTACAATCATCGAAGAAAACGTTACGTAAACGTTAACTATTGTGCTAATGCTTCCTTCAACAATACAATGGCATTATTTGATCCACGTTATTATTTTAAACAATAAAAATACAATGTTGCCATTTTCGCTTGATAATTATAATTATATAATCTCAACTTTCGCGAATTGTTAACACTTTCACGAAAAAGAATGCACTAACAAGTACATTATTTCAACGAATTATTTATTGCGATATAATGATAAATTGTAAGACACAATTTCGTATATATTAAAATCACAAAATTCATCAACTTCAATATATCTATTGAGCAATTTTAGAGATTATACGACTTTTATGCGTACGATTATTTTAACTTAAATTTCATTCATTGAAATTAAGATTGACTTAGACCTATCGTTTCATTACATAAAATCTTTCAATTAGATGCAAATTCTAGTGTCATTGCACTCAAAACTTGGTTTCATCATCTATAACTAATCATTCCGATAATTTTAATCGTCGCGTTTTGTAACTGCATAATTATTGAGTGAAAATAAACTTTTGCAATTCAAGTACACCCAAAACAAACAGCATTAATATAATAAATAAGTTATATTCGATTTTAATATCAGATTATATTCCTACTTAGCGTTTTTAGGAAGCGGCTTTCTGCTGTAAGAACTGAGACACGTTTCTCTGGAGGACGACAAACTAATGATGCGATCCTTATCCAAACTGATGGATGCGCTATTATGGTGATAACAATCTTCGGTCTCTTTCATTGTATCTTGATCACTGTTAGTAAGCACAAAAGATAGCCAGCCACCGTTCAGAATGTGCGAAGTCTCTTTTGACATACTGAGATTATCTGTAAGAAGAAATTGTATTTCTCAGAACTGTCTAATAAATAATATAATTAACAGATTAAATATGTCATTTACAAGAAAAATTATTTTATAGTATATATATTTCGTGTCATATTTAAATTGAGAGTATTTTTATATGAGTAATATATATTTGGCTATTACTAAAAGGTGAAGAGAAATATATCAAATCAACAAAGTAATATAAAAGTTATACTTTAGGTTGGCATGTTGTCAAATTAGTTATTCGGCATCTGCTAAGAATAAAAAGAATTGGAGAGGCATGATGTCGGCATTGGCCTCTTGCCACAGGCATTGCTTAAGGCTTTGGACAAGTGAGGCCACTCCTCTGGATGTTCTAAAGTTGATTATACTTGCCTTTACATTAAAATAATATAGAATTTTGAGGCGCTTCCATAATAAAATAATTATTTATTCTGTAGACATTCTCTACATTAATCAAATTCAGGCCAAATTAGAAAATCTGGACCTCAAAACCGCCAAGACATTTATGCATGAATTACTGTATATAGACATGATCGTGAATAACGCAACGAATTAAACTAATTTAGGAATGAAAAATGATAGATAATTTGAATTTAAATTATTTATATATCCATTGTACCAAATTCTAATAAAAATTTTTTATATATGACATGTAACATTCATAAATTAATTTTAATTTGTTAATAATAATAAACAACTTCTTTTAGATTTTTTTTTTCATTTTGCAATATACTGATCTGAGGTTATTTTTCTTATTTTAATTAACAAAATTCAGACGATACATAGGAATTAATCAAAATTTCCTGTCAAATGTTTATCGTGTGAATCGAATGAACGATTTTTCATGTAGCGCCATCTATGAATTGTAATTATAATTTAATCCCCTATCCAAATAATTATTTTTAAAATACAGTACATAAAAATAATTTTTATATTACAAATAAAAATCAAATCTTTTATTTGATTAAACAACAAAATAGATTTAAAATCACTAACATCATCTACAAATGACTTTTGCATAACAATTACGTCATGGATATTAATGCCATCTGTAGACAACTTAATAAACTATTTCCACTGTATTTGACCTAAATGAATATATTAGTGATTTTATACGCTTCTTAACATAATTTGTTAAGAAAATTAGCAAATAATGATAGAAACAAATTCATAAGAATTATTCTACAAAGAAGTTATGGTTGGTTTTATAGGAATAGAAAAAAAAGAAGTGTATAAAAATTTTCACGCGTTAATTTTTGTTCTAATTATTTAGGAGGCATAAATATCTGGAAATGCATTTTATTTATGCAGAGGAATGCTTTATTGATTACTGAAGTTTATAATATTTTTTTACGGCTTCATTTTTTCGTTACATAACAGTAACGTACCGTATCAGATATAAAAGCCTATTCATACAAGTAACCAAGCGTTCTTATTCGATCCGAAGCCAAAGAATCACTTTTATTCACAGAAAACGAATTTTTACGAGTAAATAAAATCCCCTTTTATTATTTTATGCATTATTTAAGTCATTCTGAAATTTGTAAATAGTAAGAAGCGGATTGAGAAAAACAACGTTTGTAACGAAAATAAATGAAAAACACATTACATTATATTGTTATGAGAAATAACAGGAAGAAATTTGTGTCCTATATTCAGCATATTGTGTACTTTGGGGTTAGTGAACGTTTCACTTTCCCTAACTCCAATCGCTACGAAGTAAAAACTAAATCGAAAATCCTTTGTGAAAGTCAATAAAAATTTATGATATAGTAAATATTTCCAAGGAAAAAAACTGTATATTCACGAATTATATTCTTAGAAACAATCGAATTTCCTAATTCTATTAATTAATAAGGAATGTGTGATTGAATGATAGGGGAAAAGTTGTAATGGGCATTTATGTAATAAACTGTATTCATATTTTACAAATATTACGAGATTTATGCACGAAAAGATTTTGTAAACTCTTTATTAGGTGGAAAGAAGCCTTTAAGCATCGACAATGAGCTAGTTCGTGATGAAAGTTAGAGAAACGTGAGGGTAAAATGTTCCAAAAAGTATCTGGTTCACGAGTTTGTAAGAACACAGGACCCACCTTAATTCCTTTTTGGATTATTAACAATTAGAGTAGGCCTAACAAGAATTTTTGAAACTTTATTTGAAAAGTTATTATATGAATTCTCTCCAAATTCATAAGATTGTGACTATGCAAATGGAGTAATGTTAAAACTTTACCTCTTCTTAATTTAATTATTAAAATATACAGGTATTATAAAACGTTTAATTCAATAATATTTAAATAATTAATTTCATTAGAAACATCTTTAATTCCGACGTTTTGTATTTTGTCTGTAAGAATAATTAACATGCAACGGTGTTTGAGTCTGAGTTATTGCAAAAATTGCAATTTTGTAAAAATAACCTTTATGTGATTAACATTGAATTAAAAATAACACAGACTGTATTTAACGTTTAGCTTCGCAATATATTTCAAAATAATAATTATCATCAGGAAAAAGTTAGAAAAAACTAATTATACAGGATAAAAAGATTTCATTTGAATTAAATGACATAATAATTTATTACAGAAATTTTTTAAATATATATATAAAAAGAAGTATATTAGAATTTCAAATGACATAATGCTGAATTACAGAAACTATTAAAAAATAATTATAAAAAAAGTTTCTTCGAGAAGTTCATATTTATATAGTATATATTTAGGCCAGGTCGGAGTGGCCCTGAAATGAATACTGACCTAAACTTAATTTGATTTGATAGGACCAGTTTATATCTCGATTAATCTAGTTGTTTAAGTATATCGTGTTGCAATCTTTTATCAAAAAATGAAAATATTAATAAATCTGAATATTAAGATATGTGACATTTTTACAGGCATTTTATTTGCAGTTAAATATTAATATTCCGCATCATTTCATAATACAAGCATATTTGCTTCCAGTCGTATAAAGTTTGAATTAATTTTCCTAATCGTTTTGAATTGTAGGTTATGTCTACCAGTTATTTTAAAATAAATCATTATTTTATTGCATAAAATGTTATAAACAGACACTGATTAACTGAAGTAAACGAATGATCGAAATCATGAAGCATAACTAAAGTTTATCTAAACGAAAAATGATTTGAGTCGGTAAGCGATTGCAAATATTCCTCCAAATACAACAATAGCGTTACGAAAATCTTGCACAGTTTAATGACTTAATAAATGAGGTCAATGACAATTTTAGTTCCGTCCTATAGTATTTTTGATCTTTCGAGCATCATATTTGTTTTGTCGCGTATTGTCTTAACATCGCTTTCTCGCTTAATTAAACGAGTATTACGAGATTTAGTCAAAATTCTTCAAGGACAACCGAAATTTACTTCTATTTGCGTAATGAATTTCTTACGAGGGAAAGTACTGTACTGTACCTATACGAAATTGAATCGATGTAATTAGTACATTGCTAAACGAATTGTAATCGTGAAATCAGAGGGAATTTTCCGTAAATTTATTCCATTTTATGTAAAACTTTAGTTTAATGAGGCTACTCTAATTAATTAATTATATAAACTGTTTAGAAATAAAACGAAACGATAAAAAAATCAATGAAATTCATAACTTCTCATAAGATAATTATGGACTTTCCATATCTAATTTTACTTAACAAACTAGAACGGTTAATAATTCTAATTCCTTTGTATTAAATTCCATTATAATCCTTCGTATTTCATATTAAAAGTGCTTCGAACACAATAGAATTTCTTAAAATGTAACTTCACTCACCTCGTAATCTTCAAAACTTACTGGTTACGATACTCAATCCAATTCAAGTGTTGAATACGTAAACAATCTGTGCAATGTAACGTAACGATCGCCTCAAGTAATACAAAATTTATCCTATTTTTACCAATAGCTCAATCATCGTTCAAAGAAATTTACCTCAAAATACTTTCCACAATCACGTAAACAGAAAAACATGCCAACGAAAGAACAAATTCAATAAATTGCCCGCTGCCATGCAATCGTTCAAGTTGAGTATTAACAAAACAGATCGAAATGATAAAACTAAATGTCTTTAACTCATAATATTCTATTTTTATAAAGTAAAGATATAATAAGTAAATCTTACGATATCATCTATGCTTCGAACAATTGATTGCCAAAATCGAATCGAATCTCTACCTATACGAAATTTTACAACTATTTTTATGATCGAACAATTTATATTTTTAGCAATAGGATGTTATTATATTTTTATAGATGAGCTATAAACTTACCCAAAACATGCCTCCTACCGTTTCCTGACCGAGAACCCATTCGATCCGAATTTATCTTCCTTCTCTACCAGAGGACAACCAATCCACACAACGGAAATTATAATATGTTAAAGGGCATGGTCAACAGGAATACCCTTTATATATTCCATCGTGTCTTGTCTTGTACACGACAAGATATCACACGTTAGAAGTTCTGTTCATTTGACGTCATATTCACGTGATCTGGGAAAACAAGCTTTTCATCTTATAAACACGGATGCCATATACAGTTTTCCCACCAAAATAAATACATTCCTATTAGTCTACGTTTTTCAGCCTACTCCATTAATTTCTCTAATAAAAATAAAAATTTTAAATAAAAATGTTTCATGTATTAAATTTATATTTCAGTTTTTTATATTGATACTTGCAATTTCAGATTCGATGTTTATGTATTTTCATAATTAGAGATTATTGTATTTACTTTTAAGTACATTTAATTAATACATAGGGCAGAATTAATAGTTTTGATACGATATTTCTAAAAATAAATAATAAATTAAACGTAAATTTGATTGTAATTTTAGTTGAAAAAATATATGCTAAGTCTACTTTAGAGGTTCTATATTTTATATATTTGAAACAATTAAAGGCGGAAAATTTATTTATTTAGCAACAATTTATTCATTATTTTATTAAATATAAATGTTTTTCAAACAAAATAACATTGAAATAAATGATATATAAATTATTATTTTAAAAAATTAATAAATATTATTTATTTTGTTTAATAAAATAAAAATTCAATGTTAAAATACAAATTTTAATAAATGATAAACATCTGAATACTTTTGCTCTATATAAATACTTTAACCAGGATCGTCAGAGCTCTTGTGGAACCTTTTTGCCATGTTTTTTTGAACAAATAAAATATGTAGAATATTTCTTTATTAATAAAACGCAGTCTTAAAGATTTTATTTTCTGTTAGTGAAAATAATATTAATTTGATAGGGAAGGGAACCACTATGGGTCCCTAAGTTTTCTCCAGGTCAGGGTAAAATCTCAAACTTCTCGAACTTTACCCTGAACAAACTTCATCACATAATTTGATCTGGCCCTACATATTATTCGAACATCCTGTTTATCGTGTATATTTAAACTTTAAATATTAAACACTGTATATAGCTTTTTAAGTTTAGAGTTAAGAAAGACGGAGTCCTTGACTTCATTTGTTTATATTTAAAGCAAATGAAGAAATAATGAGAAGGGAATCTTCATCATATTTCAATCGTTAACATAGACAAATATTTGTGATACTTAAATTAATTTTGTAAACCATATAAACTTGATGGAACTTGCAAAAATATTATCCTGGTAACTGTACATTTTCTGGTTGAACAAAATTAGGAAAATTTTTCAATTGTTTCCTCTTATATATTTAGAAAAATTTGCAATATTTAAATTACATTAAAATTTAAAATAATATTAAAAATCTTAACTATTCGGATAAAATACCAGATTTTAAGCATTATAATCTTAGAAAGCAGCAAGGCATTAGAATAAGACTTATACCCTTTATATATTTTATCGTTAGAGGTTCTGTTCATTTGACGTCACATTCACGTGACCTGGGAAAACAACTCTTCACCTTATAAACACGGATGATGTATACAATTTTCCCTCCAAAATAAATACATTCCTATTAGCCTACGTTTTTGAGCCTACTCCATTAATTTCCCTATCTTAATGTCTTATTAGCCTAACTAAATGGAAGTAAAATATATAATTACGATTCGAAATATTTGAATATAAAGTATTTTAGACAGCGAAATTTTTAAGGTAAAAAAGTTTTAAATGTCTGAAACAGTTTATTGTTTATACATATACTGTATTTAATTCTTGGGAAAATCGGTAAAAATTCTTTTTCCTTTACTAATGTATTTAAAATAAATAAAGCCATGCAACTTCTCCATTTCAAATCAAATAATAATAATTTAAATTTTAAATAAAAAAATTGTTTGATATAATAATAAACATAATATTTTTTATTTATTAAATCACTTTACATTAATAACTGAAATATTCATTGATATAAAAGATATTAAAATAATATTAAAAATCTTAACTATTCGGATAAAATACCAGGTTTTAAGCATTATAATCTTAGAAAGCAGCAAGGCATTAAAATAGAACTTACCGGCTTTATCGATGCACAGAAATATTGAATTGTCCGATATTTTGAAATTTATTTGACCTTTCTTTCTTATATTTTTCTATAAATGACGTATTATTGCGTTTCGTGATATCAGGATCATTCGATTATTAACCACAAATAATAATAGCCGTTTTCGAATACAATAAATTATTAATTGATTTTAAAAAATTAATTAAATATAAGAAGAAATTTCTAATTATAAAAATATCATAAGATAAAAAGCAGTTAAGCTTTACTTAGAATACTACGAAATAAATAGATCTCGAAACCTACAATATGTTAATCTTAAATGTATTTTTATAATATTAATCTTTAGAACAATTAACGAATTTTGATTGGTTGGGTTTTTATATCCTTCACCTATATAAATACCGAAATAAGTAACATGAAGAAGGGCAAGGATGAAAAACTATTTTCGTTTTTATTAAATGTCCTTAAATGTGAAACAAATAAAGGAATGACTTAAACTTTTTCTCAGACATTTATTTCAATTTGATTCTGTATTAAAGATGTTTTCCAATTTTAAAATATACAATTAAAATCTTATAAACAGTAACACAAAATTAAGACAAGTAACTAAATACACCTTAATTCTATACAGATTTTCAACTGTTTATGTCTTTCTCAATCGTTCTGATATCAAATCAATGCTTTTTCTTTTTTTTTGTGAACAAAAAAATGCTAAGTATTATGTATAATGTTAAGTGTGTAATATAGTCACGTGTTTTGTATCCTGAACAAAAGTCTGGATTTAACAATTGTGAAAAAAACGAAAAAATCATTTCATAAACTTACAAAAAAAAAGTCGACGACCTGAATTAATGCTGTTATATGACTATGCATATAAGATCACTTATCGTTAAAAAATCGCTATACTATTTTTATCTTTTTCTGAAGGAAGGTTAGTTTTCCGGGTAAAGTGTGTATAACATCTTCAGATCATAATTACTGCGAGTTTCCTTTTATTCGAATACAAGTGTTGAGTGAGGATGGTTACTAAAATTCTAAATATAGTTATGATAAATTTTATAAATAGTACATTTATTTTATACTGAAATTTCATCATTATAATTTTTTTACAGTTATTTTATACAAAGTAGTTTCATATACAAACTTAACCGGTTAAGAATTGCGTTAAGAAAATTTATATCTATTTTAAGTAATTAAATATATGCACGCGTAAACTTTATATATAGCCTAAAATGTGTTTGTATAAAATATATAATGTTATATTTCTAAAAAATTTAAGAGAATAAAAGACATTTGCTTACCTGAGTCTGTGAGTTTGCTGATTGTGATTGTTGTTTGTGTGCAGGAAGATCCGTCTTAGAACGTTATAAGAGTGAAACTTTTCCCTTGGTCTTTGGTCAGAATTATAACAATTTCCCTTACTAAAAATAACTCCAACTCCAACAGGTTTTACTTTTCGTGCATCAAATTTACTAAATTATAATTGTCATTAAATGTTTTATAAATAAAGTATAAAAATGTTAAAATATCGTCGATCGCAATTGTATAGCTCTATTATATTTATTTTATACTTTTAAATATATTTAACAATAAATATGATGCATTTCAATAACATAATAAACAGTAGCTTTAAAACAACTGTTAACGTTAGCTGTTATAATATAACTGGTATAATACTGCAGTTAATGAAAAAAATGATATTAAAAAAAAATATATATATATATATATATACTGAATACANCTCTATTATTAGAATATCAATATAGATTCAGACCAGCATTTCAATTAGGAGTTTATTTTAGAGTTTTCTAAATTAAATTAAAAATTTTTTTAATTTTAATATGGTCAAAATCATTAATTTCGAATAAAATATCATCAAATCGTCGCCAGAAAAAAAGAAAAATTAACAATCCAGTCAATTAGCGTTAGTAAAAATGTTAATAAAACTATCATAAAGCCAAAAAAAGCATTCTGAACATTAGTATTTTGTTTCGCACGAAGCAATTTAGAGAATATGGTTCCGAGCACTAACTCTATCGATGAGAATATTCACAAAGCGTAAATGAATCTGTAATGATGTAGAAACACTTGACCCCTTTGGGGGAAACGTCGGAAATAGCACAAAAAACGCCAAGATAAGTAGATGATTTTAAAATACTTTAAATTTCGCAAATATATTTTATTGTTGAAAAAAATTTCGACATTTTATAGGCGAACTAACGCCTACATTTGCAGTATTCTCGTATAATACATGATTAATGACTACATTAATTACCGCTACAAAATCATTCTTAAATATTTTTTTACTGTTAGTAATTTTAATAAAATATACAGGTCATGGGTAATCACCCATTATATTCAATTAGTTTTAAGAGAAGATTTGTGACATCATTAAATGTCCTCTTTCAAAAATAGTAGGTGGGAGCGAAAATCATTTCAATTACTCCTATTACTCTCATTTACCGAATTTGTTTCTGTAATTATAATTTTTACTATTTTTTCTTTTTTTCCCCGTTTTTATTTTCCTAGAAATGAGCTTAATTATATTTTATATTTATGCAGTTAATTCATTCATCATGTTACGTAACGTAATTTATTAGAAAAATTACATTAAAATTAATATGATTATTATGATAATTTATCAAATAAATCTTTCGAGGTGATTATTAAAGTAATAATAAGTTAAAATTAGTGTGAACACTTTTAGTTTATTATTACTAGACATTCTAATACGAGTAAGTTCCACTTTGAAATTTTAATATTTAGGTTTTAAATTATATACTTTATATAAAACAATAGGATGGCAGCTGTTACAAATGCCTATAATTAAATATCTGAACAATATGAGAATTATAAAGAAAATCAATAGTTGAAATCAGGGGATGAATCTTCACGAATGTTTCATCCGGAAATCATCACGAATTCGATTCGTGAAGAAAATAATAAGATTTACCTTGGATCAAAAATTTGGGTTTTTTCGATGGAGAATGGTTCGAATTCAATAGATAATTATCTACGTTAAAAAAAATTACCGAATTATTGATACGAAAACACGGATTTTAACAAAGGTTGAATCGTGAAGGAGACACGAAATATTACAGTATTAAATTTATATTTCAGTTTTTTATATTGATACTTGCAATTTCAGATTCGATGTTTATGTATTTTCATAATTAGAGATTATTGTATTTACTTTTAAGTACATTTAATTAATACATAGGGCAGAATTAATAGTTTTGATACGATATTTCTAAAAATAAATAATAAATTAAACGTAAATTTGATTGTAATTTTAGTTGAATCATTAAATTATAAGTAGAAAAACTATTCTAGTTCCACTCGAGTACCTTTCTTCAGTTAATATGGGAATACATTACTTAACATCATCACTTCTATATGAACAATTCAAATTATGAATATGTAGGCCATAATATACTTTTAATATCACCTACATATTACCATTTAAGTATGACATTTTATATTTAATAAAAAGTTTTCCTATAATATAACATGGGATAAATTTTAAACATGCTGAATCAATAATTCATAAGAAGCATTATATTCTCTCAAGGTTATTCTCTATCCATTAGTTATTATTTAGTTTAATAATTGTAAACCCGTTTTAAAATATTGTAAATCAATTTGGAAATATCCTAAGACCTCGTCAAGTGATTAATATTTCTAAATTTATTATTATTGCTAAATAAAGACCTAAATATATTTATTTAATATGTAAAAGAACTGTTTTGAAAGTCATATTCTTTACAATTATTTTCCCAAACTTGAAAGACATAAAACTTATATTTTTAATGGGATTTTTAAATTCGAAGAAAGAATAAATTCTGAAAAGAAATAAAAAGAATGCTCTGTTTCCTTCCGGACAATGTAATAAAAATTGAACTGGTGGCCTGAAACTGTTTATAAATTATAAGTTAAGAGCCGCGAGACAAAAACACAATAATGCGGCTGGTGGCAATAAAATACCACCAAATATAGCGTACATCGACCTTTATAGGCACCAGTTTCCATCTGGTATTGGCAAACCTAAATAGCAGCAGAGCGTGATTACACAGAGAAACCATTCGATAATCAAGTTGTACCATACGTGAAGAATCATTTATAAAATACAACAAACTCTTTCTTGTAATCTAAACCAATCATCTTCGAGTTAACAAAAAACATTTTATTATAATATAAATGTCAAAACACAAAGGCTATTATTGGAGATAATTTAATCCCTATTACAGATTGTGTCATTAAATTTTTGTAATTAACATTAAAACTTTAAAATAATTTATATTTAATTGAAATTATTCGTAAATTTTAAACAAACCAAACAATAAAAACGCATTTACGATTCATTTGATCTTTAACACATATGCCATTGTAAAGTATTTTGCAACGCATGGATCAATGTCCTTCTTGAAGAAAACCCGTTTCATAAAAAAAGAGATTAACGACGTACGACACATTTCATTCGGCTTTTATATAATAAAAAGAATTTCCTCGGCTCAAACGATGCAAACGGACACTTCTAAATTAAAAAGAAGATTCTAAGAGGGAAAGCATGGGAGTTCATAATCGAGGCCAAGTTTAATACTTAACTTACAGAAAACGGATATTTAGATGATAACTTTTTCATCAAAATTTTGCGCTAAAAAAACTATTCATTAAGTGTCATTATGCAATGCAGAGTCAGATTATTTTTTTCTTCGGATATGTATTTTTTCATTTTAGCAAAAAATCGACCTAGAGTACTTTTATTTATGCGTGATCTAATTAGAGACTAGGCCATAAAACGTTTCAACCGGAACACAAGTGAATCTAACAAATGTCATCTTTACTAATTTAGGAATAATTACATAACTCTTAAAAATGGATAGCGCAAATTAACCAATCTAAGCAATCGTTTGTAATTTACGCGACTAAATTTATTTCCAACGATTTAATTAACTGTTACGTATTGTTCAGTTAATTAAAATTAATATTTAAATTTCAAAATAAATAACTTAAATGTATTATAATAAATAAATGCGACTGACGATTCATCAGATTTAACGATGAAATCTGAAACGGATGAATAAAAGTAATTTCGTGCCCGCCAACTGGGTCGTCGATTAAATATGAAGCATGCAGAAATAGCTTTCCCATTCAGACCATCCAAGCAGACCTTTAATTGCAAAGTAGAACATCGAACAGTAGGTCATGGGTCATCGACACTCTTGATTGTTCGTGATATTGACAAAATATTTTCTATCAATTAATTAATAAATATGACTAATTACCTCACTAATTAATGATAAAATAGCTGTTGGGAAAAGGTTAATAATTATATAAAATACTACAGATAAGGAGTTATTTACATTCATCTTTTAATAGGATAAATTTAGAAATGACCTTATTTTAATTTTTTAAATTTATTTATATATGATTTTTTCTAATTTTTATATATCAAACAGTTTTTACGTGTAGAAGAATTGAATTTATAATGCTTAAATTTTTTTAGAATTAAATAGGCCTTACGATAAGACAATTTAACCATTAACTAGACAAAAAGATGACTGCAAAAAATGATCTCGACTGTACAGGAAACTTATTGAAACTCTGTGTGAAGCAAAATGGATGTGATATTTTCGATTTACAAAAAATACAACAGATATTTGTATCCGGTGTTAGATAAAAGTTACTGAAGTGAGATATATCCTCACTTGATGCCATTCATCATTCAAGGACTTTAGCCATTTTCAAAATCGGTACTCGGTTCCAAATAAAAAGATCTAGTTTAAAAGATATGACCTTAAAATTATGTGAATAAGAATAATTTCTTCTCTGAAGTGCTATTGTTTACATAACAATGCAGTCCTTAATATCGCCCAAAAGAAGAATTCCAGTTTAGAAAAAGAAAAAATATAAATATCTTTTAATTTTACGTTCTAGAAAACTCTAATAGAAAGCTTTACACAAAGGAGGTGTTGCAATTTATAGTGGACATGAAATGTAAGCCAACTGGTACTAATTTCGCCAGTATCCAGCTAGTACCGGAAGAATAACTATGATAAAGTTACAAAGTAAAATTCGATACCCTTCTACGAAGTATTTTTCTAATATTGAAAACAGAATTACTTATTAAATATTAAAGTTTGAACTAGGTCTAAGCAAACTACAAAAGTTCAACTGTTTATACTTTGACACGATCATTTTTCATCATAAAGAAAAATAATTTTAGAAACTATATATATAATATTTCAAGGTCTAGAGGCATAAGTAGAGGTTAAAAGATCAAATGACCGAATGTATGCGACGTAATAACAAAAGCTGATGATGCGCGCTTAACCGTTATTGAAGATAATGGAATCTGATTTTGTCTGAAATCTTACTTTGCAATGTCATTCTTGGTAACGGTCGAAGCGCTGCAAGTCTTCACCTCTACTTGCAGATCACCGCCTTCTTCCATTGACCTAGAGAGAGGGGATAGATGCGACCACTCAGCACACTGACTTTATTCGTCTGTTTGACTGCTCGGCCGACTTCGTCTATTCAATGGGAATGGTGTGACGTCACGTAACCGCTACCAATGTTTACATTGGAGCTTTTCCCTCTTTGAACCTGTTATGTCAAAACTCTTCAAGCAGTAAGTAAAACTCGTAAAGTTCCTCTTGAGTCCCAGCTTCCTCAGATGTAATTATAAGCAGAATTTTAAATTAATCGTTTTGATCTCGTGTCATTTAATAGGAGAAATATAAAAATATCGTGTTTAATTACTCATGGTATATATTACATATGCTTTCATTTCATCGCATATACAGCACTTCATCTCCTTTAAATATCGAAATTGAATTTGCAGAATGATATATTTTACGAAGAATTTCAATTACAAATTTGTAATGGAGAATTTTTAATAGAAATAACCATCACTTTTCAGGTTAAATTTTTCAATTATGTCTAAATGAAAACAAATTTATTTTCTATTTAAAGTAATTTTTCATGAGATTTATTCTCGTAATAGAATATTACAAAAGAAACTAATGTTATTGAGGTAAACTTAATTTAAAAAATGAAAACATAAAATCTGTATTAAGTTTATTGTAATTTGATACATCTTTCCTTCTATTAAAATTTTATTTTAAAAAAATTGTATGTAGTTTTTTAGACCGATGACTTTCAAAATATGGGTTGAATTATAAAGTTAACTCAATTATGTCCCTTTTTTTCTTTTGATATGAAGGAAAACTAGNAAAGGAATTATAAAAAATTACTAAAATTATCGATATTTCTATAGTAATTACCCAATAATTATGCAGATGATAGGAAGAGCAACCGAGATCAAAAATAACATCCATCACTCATAATAAAATATAACTACATCACTATGATTTACCACGTAACAGTTTTATTTCAAAGAAAGTAGACGATCAATCAATCATAAAATACGCTTATCATATTTAAATTCACTTTACTCTAAGTGATTAAACCTTGAAATATTGTAAATTCGTTATTTTACATGATTCCTCAAGGTAAATCAAAATTTAAATACCATATTCTTTACAAAATTGATAGGAAAATAGTATCTATCATCAGAAGATTAATTTATCGGATATCAAAGTCAACGATATGTAAGGAAAAAGGAAGTAATGTAAATAGTATAATATTAATCTTATTATTGGATATAAGTAGAATATTAATTGTAATTAAAACAAGGAAAAAATTCTGTTATTTTAAACTTTCTGTTAACTTAAAGTATTCTATAGTTAAACTATAGAATATACTTTAAGTTTCTATAGTTTATAAATCATTTAACTTTTAATTTGCCTACTTACTTGTTAATTTTGCTTTTAACATTTAACTCAATCTCAAAGTCTCTGGATTCTGCCATAGAGTATACTTTAAGTTTCTATAGTTAAACTATAGAATACTTTAAGTTAACAGAAACTTTAAACCTGGATGTAATCATATGATTATACACATGCTTATATGCATTAAAACATAAACAGAATAATGATCTTATTGTTTAAATTATCAATAGACTTATTATGTTTCAAAAAAATTTTGTGATATTCTAGAAATTATAATATGTATTTATATAGTTTATAAATCATTTAACTTTTAATTAGCCTACTTACCTTTTAATTTTGCTTTTAACATTTAACTCAATCTCAAAGTCTCTGGATTCTGCCATTATAACTGAAATAGGCTCCCTAAAATTAATAAAATTCTATGAAAAATTTGAAAGAATTAAATGTACTGTACAGTACATGTTTAATATATGTTAAATTAGTGTACGTGTTATCAGTAAATTAGTTTGATAGAATAATTTTAATGTGTACATATATATAGGATTTTATTAATGAATTGATTAAAGAGATATTTTATTTCTTCTACAAACAATAAAGATATTAAATCAACGAATAAGCTATTTAACATTTTAATTTTAAAACTTATAAAAAAAAATAAATCTATAAAAATGTAATAAGCTTATGATTTTATAAGGTAGATTTTGATATTTACAATAAAGATGGCTGCATATAAAATTTCAAGCTATTATGACGGAATTAAAATTTAACATAACGGCAAGATAAATTATAATACTTAATAGCAATAAAAATGATTAGGAAATTATTGAATTTAATTCAATAGTTCTTATTAAAAATTGATAATGTTTATTTATCGAAGGTTACGCCGATTTTGTCATTGCCTGTATGTGAAAGAGAAGGAATGAGTGTGTAATATTAGAATTGCGCGAGTATTGGATAAAATATTATATAGATTATAGATAAAAAATCTCATAATATTCACCTTTTATCAAGAAAAAGTGGATCAGTTTCAACCATTGAAAACGAATGGAGTAAAGGCGCCAAAATTTCGGGTCGAGTCCATTGACATCGTCTTGAGGGTCGCTCGGATCGATAAGCTGGAATTGAGTGCTACTGCCCCACCATATTCCGACCTCTAAATTATTTCTAGAATTTTCCAATGTTAAATCATCCGATGCTCGTAACTCGTGCAGGACATTTTATTTTTTTCCCTTTTTTTTGGAAAAATTGTTTTTAATCCATTCAATACTATTTCCGTTAATTTCTTTCATTTTCAGATAAATTTATTCCTCGTTTTTTATGCATTTCCCCCATTTTATCTGATAATTTAATAGCAGTCGATATTAACCATTAAAAAATAAAAATAAAATAAAATAAATACGGCGAATTGTTAAGATATTGATTAAATCGATTACTAAATCTAATTTATTTTTAAATAAAGATAAATTTAATTACAAAATAGTTAAAATATCGTTTACAAATTAATTTAATACTGAAAATATTATTAAAATTATTAATTAAAATATAAGGTTGCAATAAATATATTCCAATTTAATACAATAAATAGACAAACAGGAGTATATAATCCTACATTATAATTTATTAAAAGCATTTTAGTATTAAAATGTTCAAATTATAAATTATATTTTTAATGTGCAGTACATGATTAAAATTAATTGTATTAAATGCATTAATGCACAGTAATGCACATTATAATTAATGGCTTCTTAAACTTTGTTTTAAAATTTTCTTTAAAATTAATATAAAATAAATTAAAATTTTTTATTTTAATTTCTTAAAATAATATCATAAACAAAGCATAATTTATTTATCATAAATTTAATTAAATTCTGACGAATTAGTTATTCATGCTTATTTTTTATTTAAAAACGAATAAGGGTTATTTCTAAATACTGTATTTTTATTTTATATTATGTATATTAATTTAAATAAAATATAATAACAATATAAATAAAATTTTTCATTTATTTACCTTCTATTTATTTGTGTTTTCATCGGGTTGCAGTAAAAATTGAAATATGATGAAAGATAATATTCAAGACACGGATTTATTATTTNTCGAAATATAATGGTTTTGACAATTTCGAGAGAATTTTCTAGTGCAAAGTGTACAGAAATGGTAAAATAAATTATTAAATATAATATAAGATTATTTTATAGCATCACTTTTTGCACTTCTGATCATTTTGCAATTGTTATACTTACACAATGTTGTGTAGTACAGCGATTCCCCTATATCGATCCTCCGATTCCCCGCCGCCCGAAGGTTAGCAAGAGCTGGGATAAAATACATATAGAGTCCTACAGCAAATTAAATTATTATATTAACGTAAAGGAAATAAACGAAAAAACCATTGTACAGGAATCCACAATTCCTCGAGGCCTAGGGCAATTTGCTCCTTTTGTTGTACTCTGAGCAGCCTTGGATAACTATTACTTATAGAACCAACATATTAAACCAACATAGAAAGTTAAATATAAGAAAAGACTTTAAGTTATATTTTAAGAAATAATTCAAATAGACATATCCAACAAATATTCATGTAAATTCAATAAAATAATGAAGAATCAGGCCTATTTAAATAATCTTTAAATTGATTTTAATAACTAAATTGAGAATATGAATTTTACAGATATTTTAAATACTATTAAAACTACACGTTTTTGAATTTCGTTAATATGAATGTGAGACTGTCTTACATTTTTTAACAATATACTTCGTAATATAATCGAAATTAGTTCCATGATAATTGTTTAGATCAATGATAAGCAAAAATACTTAGAATCATAGAAATATTAACATAAAATAGAGCTAAGTATTTATATGACAAATTAGGTTAGACGTGGAAAGAAGAATTTTCCTATAGAAAAAGCCAATAGAGAATTTTTCAAAACACTTCCCTGATAAAAAGTGAGAATGGATTCGTGAAACTTTTAATTTTTCATAGCCTATTTCTTTAATAAGAGACAGAAATAAAAAATAAATTGTCGTCTGATAAAACATCACATTTTCCTTTCAAACGGGATTTTTGAGATTATATTTAAAATAATATTTTAATATTCTTTACTCTTACAGTTTTAAAGCAATGCCAATAGACATACAAATATCCCCTCCCATTAATATAACAAAACAACTATTACTCATTAAAAACTAACGAAAACATACATCATTTTAAAATATAATACAAAAGTGCATAAAATTACTCCATAGAATAAAACTCCGTATATTTCTTACTCATCAATATTCGTATAATATTCGTAACTGTTAGCGAAAAGCAAGTAGAAACAACACATCGCTTCTCTTGTTTCTACTTGCATTTTCTATGCGAGAGAATTTCTCAAAACTTTAGCTGTATAAACGAAACCTAATAAACGAAAGTTTCAAACCTAATTTGAAAAATGTTTTGAGAAAAACGATTCCGAATATTACGCCAAATGCAGATCATAGTTAACTGATAACCGAGCTCATCGTTTGGATTAAGCAAATATGTTTACATTATATACAATATCTTAATTCTTCATACAAATAAACTTGTATTAAGCATTTCGTTCGATGCATCGAAATTGCTACAGGTTCGAAATTAAAAAATTAAATAATTTTCTATTTGTTCAAAGTAAAAAAATTCTTAATACGCGGATATAATAATATATGAGTGTATAAAATATAAGTAAATACTATACGAGACGATTAAAGGGTCACAATAAATGTTTTAAAAAATAAGAAAATCGTTCCGCTTCACTGATTTACGAAAAAAGATCGACCGACGTTAATAGAAACTGGATATAAAATATTAATAGATGTTAAATTTAGAGTTATAAGATAAAATATAATACTAATTTTAACTATATAAATATACATTTATAAAAATAGTAAGATATGAAAGACGCTATTAAAAAAGACAATTTTTGATATTTAACATTATTCTTAAAATAGACCGATATTAAAATAATATTTTCATAAATAAACGTTTAATGATTTTCTAATTTAAACTTAAAAATCTTTTAATTATTTTATCCATTAACACTGTGGTTCCCAACCTTTTTGGACTTACGGCACACTTAAATAATCATGCGAAGGTTGCGGCACACTTTATTATTAAATATTAACTGGACCGGGAACAGGTCAATCACGGGGCTCTCTCTCTAATACCTCTCTAATATTGGAACGAACTTAGGGTACGACTGTGCAGACGCGAATTTTCCGAGAGAGCGAGAATATGTGGCGAGAAGAGGCGATACGCGATAAATATCAAAACCTGTCAGATATGTGCGAGAACCAGAAATTCGCTCTCGCTAGCGTTATTTCTCGCTTCTCGTTTGTGCATGGTTTTCCTTTGCGAAAACTAAATCGCTCGCAACCTCTCGCTCGCTCTAAATTCGCGTCTGCATAGCCGCACCCTTAAGCCCTCAAATTGTTTACTGAATATCTTTAAATCAAGACATGTTAAAATTCCTCTATAAAAGAGTAATATTAAAATACTGTTATTAATTCTGATTATAATTATGAATATTAAAATCTATTTATGATTTGTTAATACAGTCGTTCCAATCGGTGCGCCACGAAGCAATTTCGTATGTACAGTACTGCCAGATGAAAAAAATTAAAGCGGCAAACGTACGCTTCATTTGCTAAAATGGTTTCGTGGGCATAATATTCATAATAATTATAATCAGAATTAATAACAGTATATTAATATTACTTTTTTAATAGATGAATTTTAACATGCCTTGATTTATATGGCTCCATTTCGTTTTTAATCAGGAAAGATAAAGTGTTTCTCAACTGGGCTATGTCTTGCACATGCACGCAAAAGGTTAAATCTTGTACTGTACGTATGCGTACTGTCGGTACTCGTGCACGTCAATATCATTGCAGAGTTCTCAACCTGTGAGTTTGAAAAGAGTTGATATCATATCCAAAAAAGCTGACATTTGCCATCCCCAAAAAAACTGATAGTCAAAATTTTAATCGAAATATAATGGTTTTGACAATTTCGAGAGAATTTTCTAGTGCAAAGTGTACAGAAATGGTAAAATAAATTATTAAATATAATATAAGATTATTTTATAGCATCACTTTTTGCACTTCTGATCATTTTGCAATTGTTATACTTACACAATGTTGTGTAGTACAGCGATTCCCCTATATCGATCCTCCGATTCCCCGATTCCTCCAAATATAGAATTGAAACCTTCAAATGGGGTCCCCAATTCTTATGTGTTTGCGTAAACACTTTCTCATAAGCATTATTTGTCTGCTTAAAAAATCTTGAAAAGTGTTGTGTATAGTTTTTCTTTTGGTTTTTTTGACAGCCAAAGAAAAAGAATATAAAGCATTCGATTATTCGATTGAAGAATATTGACAATCAACAACAATGAGAAATAAAGGATCAGTGGATTTGTATAGATAAAAAATATTATCCGTAAAACAATAATTGTAAGAAAACAACAATTGAAATCATCGACGAAAAAAGCAGACAAATGACAAACACAGCCCTTGAAAAGTGAACTGTCCAGCTCTGTTATTGTTACTTGATTAACTATTGATATATTAATCGATTAATGAATGTAGTTAGTTGATATATAAACAAATATTACTAATTTACAGTATATTAATTAAATATAAATTTAAAATATTCTGTAGATATTCTTGTTTGTTTGCATTATGGCAACGCAACAGTTGGGCAATCTGCTTAGGGGATTACTTCCGGGAGGTCTTTTTAAGGGAAACTGGCCCCTATTTAGGCATTACAGACGTGGAGAAAACCCGGAAAGCTCCATGTGGCCAGACTGTCCGAGCGAGGCGCGAACCCATGACCGAACGACCAGTGTTTAGGGAACGACGACCGCTTAGCCACTGGTGGGCCGTAGATATTCTAACTTATGTTTATTGTACATTGTTTTTCATTCATAAAATGAATGTCAATAAAATAGGCTAAATGTCTGTCTATTACGTTTCATGTTTTAAAATCAATGTATATGCCCTGTACATACATATGTATGCAATTCATTAGAATATACAGTACTATAATTATTTTAATAAAAATCCATTTCATAATATTTAAAATAGTGGCAGAATCTTTAATGTTTTTTTTTTTTTTATTTTTCCCTGAGCCATCATTACTAGACCACAGAGAAATATTAAGCTCAAAAGGGACCAAACATCAAAAACAGGTTGAGAAACACTGAGAAAAACGATCGTATGGCACAGACAGTTAGACT